AGGAGATCCAACGAGAGAAGTCTCTGAGCCAGAATCATGTCACTAGCACCAATCCCACCAAAGCCACCTGCGCCATCAAGCGAGTCCTTACTGGGAAAGTTGGGAAAACCTTTTTGGAAGTTTTTCCAGCAAAGAGGCTGCATCTGAATGAGGAACATGAGTTAAATCCCAGTCAGAAGAAGCCAGAGCCCTCGTTGGAGAATGCTCTGGGCAAGAGCCAGGTGGAGCCAGACCCTGAACCCACAAACATGGAGAAGGTTAAAGTTAAGACCCTGGAAGAAATTCGCAGGGAAAAGTCATCAAAAGTTCAGCAAGCTGAAACCAGGAAGGACTCTGACACCGAAAGCAGCCTTTCCAAGGTGCAGCGCATAAAGAAAGCACCCAAGCTAAGTACGTCACCATTTCTAAAGGTGTGGGACACCGAAAGCCCATCTTAAATAAGATTATAGTCTGAAGCTGAGCTGTGGTGTGGTTAACTTCTAGTTCCTAGAGATTCCCTCCCCATAAAATGAAAAAGATATTGCAAATGAAGTACAAGCTAAATGGGATGAAAACACAATTCTGAGCTGTCTGAACTCGTGAAAAATGTCAAAACACAAATAAACTTTATTTGCTTTCCTGATTTTTCACGTTTTACTGATTGAAGTTAAAATTCGCTTTAAGAGTGAATAGCTGCAGGTAATAATTGACGGTCTGTTACAGTAATGTTTAAGGTTACTTTAGTAGAGCTGCGCTCAGATCAGCTGATCCGTGGTTAGGCTCTGGTCTGAGCCACCGCGGTGCTCACCAGCAGCACGGACCCAGAGAGGGAGGCGCTGGTTTCAGACACACCGCTGAGGGAAACCATCATCAACGAGCTGTTTACTCTCACTCTGCATATTTCCTGAGGAGGTTAGGGTTCTACTCACCCAGGTCCGTGTGACTGGCGCCACCCCTTTCTTTACACGTGCACATCTTCATCCACGCCGCTGCTGCGTTTGGTCCAGAGCTGACGCAGACTGACAGCATTCATGCAGCAGCAGGAGGAGTGCACGCTCAGCCATGCTGAAGCTCCAAACTGTTCCGGTAGTAAATAGTTTAATGTCATCGGCCAAAATCACACCGGCTTTACCCTACGCTGTTTATACCGTGCATTACTACGTCCTACTACAGACCACTGCAAATGTATTAAACCAGTGAACTACACCTTTAACTTTGTGTATTAAATCAAAGGTCCATGCAAAATATGTTAAAGTTTCTTTTACTCTCCCTGTTTCTGAATTCAGCCTTTAAAGGTGAAACCACAGCAGAACCGAGTGAGGTGACAGAGGTGCCGCCGGACGCTGCCCCTGAGGTGGGTGTGATCCATGCGAACTGTTGGTACTGGCTGTGACTTGCTGTTTTACCACTGACTGTACTAAGCATCACAACTTTCCCTCACCAGGCCTGTAACTTCATCAAGGTTAAGACCTTCGAGGAGATTATGCGTGAGAAACGTCTTCGGAAACAAGAAATGGAGGAGCATGTTAAAAGCTCAGCGGAAGCGGGTTCCTGTCGGAGCCAAACTAGCAGGGATGCCCCCAACACAAATGTTCGGATGTCATCGAAGTCCTCCACGCCGCGTCCTAAAGGCTCTGTTCGAAAACTCATCACAGTCAGACCAGAAGCACCCACAGCTCTGAGCAGAACCGTTCCTGTGGTCCCAGACCCTCATTTGGATCCAGAGACCGAGACCAGCTCCCAGCAACTTGTAGACAAGAACACAAGCTCCACCCTTCAGCTTTCAGCCAGGAGGGCCAAAGAGGCTCTGCCTGCTCAAGAGCCAGCTACTGAGAAACCACCGCGCTGTAACCAGACGAAATCCTCAGAACATCCTGCCGACCCCAAAGGTACCAATCTCTGTAACCCCAGAAATACACAAAAGAAGAAAAGGTGGGATTGTTGGTTTAGTGAAGTAAACTACATTTTAACAGTTTACTTTTTGTGGTTTGGCTCTACAGAAGCTCAGACTCCACTCACAGATAACAGGCTTCACCTCAGTGGTTCTGATGATACTTTAAAGTTGTGGTTGACTAAAAAAACATGTTTTAATGATTACTTCTGATTATAATCTGTGGGAGGCGTCTTTACCGACCGTATTCTACACCTCCCTCTCACCCCCCACTTGTCTAGATCTAGGCTAACATCAGATTTTAACCGTAGGCCCTATCAAATAAAGGCAAGGCAGCTTTATTTGTATAGCACCCTACAACATTATAAAACCGACCAAAGCGCTTCACAGAAATTAAAAACAATACACAACATAAAAATGCATAAAGACTAAAGCTTAAGAACTAGCATTAAAGACACTAAAAAGACTCCCACGCTGAGTTAAAAGCCAAATCATAAAAATGGGTTTTCAAAAGAGATGTAAAGCCAGACGCTGAAGAGGCCGACCCAACGCACAAAGGCAGCTCACCCCAGAGCCTAGGGGCCACCACAGAGAAGCCCTGTCACCTCTGAGCTGAAGGAGCGTCCTATCAGCCTATCAAAATTAGACTAGGCAGGTGTCTGCATTACGGCTGCAGGGATGAACCGGTTTCACTATTAACCTAGCCTGACCTGCCAGACTCACCCTCTGTCTATTCTGCACAGAGGACAAGTCTGGATGCTCAGAGCCAGAGAGCACCATGAGGGGCGGGACTAGCCGCTCAATAATAACTAATTACATAAAACACTAATGACTATAACGCTGTAGTTTTTTTAGCTGTAGCCAAAGATGACTGAGAGTCAGCAACAGCACAAACTTTTCTTTAGAAGAAAGGCTTTTAGCTCTTCTAGTTGTGGTTTTAAAGACACGTCCAAGTCTTTTAGAACAGAAGGAGGAGCCGCAGCGAGCGCTGCTTCATCTGCGTTGTTATGAGAACCTGAGCGTTGCAGTGTGTGGCGTTCACTGCTCAGCACTGATTGGCTCCGTTAGAATTCTCTAATGGTGGGATTATTTGAATTTGAGCGATATCAGGCCCTTTGCTTCCTATAAGGAAGCATTGGCAGGGCGGGCCTCGCAATGTTAGTCACGGTGTGAAATGCTGCGGTTAGCCCACCGTAAAGACGTCTCAAACACTGCAAATTTAAAAAATAAATTAGAGAAACTAAAACGAAAAAATAGCTGAACAGCAGAATCAGACAACAGCCACCGGGACTGCTCCGTTCCCACCTAGGAAAAGCTTGAAGTCTGTGTGTGAATGTTTTAGATTCCCAAACCTGCAAAAGGAGAAATTGAGGACAATGACTCACTTCAGAGCTGGCAGAAAAAAAAAAATATTATCTTTGAGATGATCATGCAGACATATTTGCTCCAACTGAGCCAGATTAGATTAGTGACTGAAGAAATTTAACAGTAATATTAGAACAATCAATGAACCAGGCCTCAAGGGCCGTTATCCAGCATGTTTTGGTGGTTTCCCTGGTCCAACACACTAGATTCAGTGGTTGAATCACCTGTGCAGCAGCTCCTGAGGGTTGGCAGAAGCCAGGTAATGACTTGCTGATTGAAATCAGATTTGTCGAAGAAGGTTTAAAACAAAACGTGCTGGATACCGGCCCTCCTGGCCCGGAATTGAACAGCCAATGTGGCAAGCCATTTTAATATTTAATCAGTATCTCTGTACTTCCTGTTTTACATAGAAATGTTATAGTTTATGCTTGTCCAAATAATATTATTCGTCGTCGTCTTCCTCCGCTTATCCGGGTCCGGGTCACGGGGGCAGCATCCCAACTAGGGAGCTCCAGACCGTCCTCTCCCCGGCCACCTCCACCAGCTCCTCCGGCAGGACCCCAAGGCGTTCCCGGACCAGATTGGAGATGTAACCTCTCCAACGTGTCCTGGGTCGACCCGGGGGCCTCCTGCCGGCAGAACATGCCCGAAACACCTCCCCGGGGAGGCGTCCAGGAGACATCCTGACCAGATGCCCAAACCACCTCAACTGACTCCTCTCGATCCGGAGGAGCAGCGGTTCTACTCCGAGTCCCTCCCGAATGTCCGAGCTCCTCACCCTATCTCTAAGGCTGAGCCCGGCCACCCTACGAAGGAAACTCATTTTGGCCGCTTGTATCTGCGATCTCGTTCTTTCGGTCATTACCCAAAGCTCATGACCATAGGTGAGGATTGGGACGTAGATCAACCGGTAAATCGAGAGCCTGGCTTTGTGGCTCAGCTCCTTCTTCACCGTGATAGATCAGCTCAGCGTCCGCATCACTGCAGACGCTGAACCAATCCGCCTGTCGATCTCCCGATCCCTCCTACCCTCACTCGTGAACAAGACCCCGAGATACTTAAACTCCTCCTCTTGAGACTTGAGGTAGGACCTCTCCCCCGACCCGGAGTTGGCAAGCCACCCTTTTCTGGTCGAGAACCATGGTCTCAGATTTGGAGGTGCTGATCCTCATCCCAGCCGCTTCACACTCGGCCGCGAACCTACCCAGCAAGAGCTGAAGGTCCGAGCTGGATGAAGCTAGGAGGACCACATCATCTGCAAAATTCAGAGACAAGATTCTCCTGCCACCAAACTCGACACACTCAGTCAATCGTTGATCTCGTGTGTGACTGCTGCGGCTACTGTAGGAGCAATAGCTTGGAGCAGCTTAGTCGGAATGGGGTCAAGTGGGCATGTAGTAGGGCGGCTGCACGTGAGAAGCTTGGACACACAGTTCTCAGTGAGAGTGGAGAAAGAGGAAAATGAAGCAGTAGGGCCTGAGATGGTTGGGCTTGAAGGAATTTGTGGTAGCAAATGTTCAGGAGTGGCCAGTTGAGTAAACTGTTTTCTTATCGCTGCCACTTTGTCAGTGAAGAATGAGGCAAAGGTGTCAGCTGATAGACTGTTGGTAGGAGGTGGAGACGGAGGGTTGAGCAGAGTTTTGAATGTCGAAATTGGTTTCTGAGAGTCAGTAGAGCTGAGAATTTTGTCAGTGTAGAAAGCTTTCTTTGCATCAGTGATGCTGGCAGAGAATGAGGACAGTAATTCCTGAAATTTCAATAGATCACCAGGATCTTTTGTTTTGCGCCATTTCCGTTCTGCAGCTCTAAGATTGGTGCGTAGAGACCGGAGGGTATCATTTAGCCAAGGGTGCGACTGAGAGGATCTAGCTGGTCTAGTGGCTAAAGGGCACAAGTTGTTAAGACAAGAGCAGAGTGTGGAGCAGAGTGACTCAGTGGCCTCATTCACTTCATAAGCAGAGAATGTGCTGGGAGATGGAAGAGTGGAGGCAACAAGAGAGGAGAAGTGGTTAGGTGCCAGATTGCGGAGGTTGCAGCAGAATGAGACCATTGGGGAGGAAGCAGTGGACCTCCTTAGTAGAGTCGTGCTGAAATGGATGAAGTAATGATCGGAAAGATGCAGCGGTGTGACAGAGATTATGTCTATGACAGTTTCTGGTGAAAATGAGGTCAAGTGCTTTTCCAGCTTTGTGAGTGGGAGGGCTTTGTACTAGTTTTAAATCAAATGATGACATTAGTGACAGGAAGCCTGATGAGCTGGGATTGTCCAGGTGAATATTCATGTCTCCAAGGACCATTGTGGGACAGTCGTGCTCAGGAATGGAGGAGAGCAGGGTGTCGAGTTCATCAAGAAAGTCTACTGTATTAGCAGCTGTACCTGCTACTGTATTAGCAGCTGTACCTGCTACTGTATTAGCAGCTGTACCTGCTACTGTATTAGCAGCCGCACCTGCTACTGTATTAGCAGCCGCACCTGCTACTGTATTAGCAGCTGTACCTGCTACTGTATTAGCAGCCGCACCTGCTACTGTATTAGCAGCTGTACCTGCTACTGTATTAGCAGCCGCACCTGCTACTGTATTAGCAGCTGCACCCGCTACTGTATTAGCAGCTGCACCTGCTACTGTATTAGCAGCTGTACCTGCTACTGTATTAGCAGCTGTACCTGCTACTGTATTAGCAGCTGTACCTGCTACTGTATTAGCAGCCGCACCTGCTACTGTATTAGCAGCTGCACCTGCTACTGTATTAGCAGCTGCACCCGCTACTGTATTAGCAGCTGTACCTGCTACTGTATTAGCAGCTGTACCTGCTACTGTATTAGCAGCCGCACCTGCTACTGTATTAGCAGCCGCACCTGCTACTGTATTAGCAGCTGTACCTGCTACTGTATTAGCAGCTGTACCTGCTACTGTATTAGCAGCCGCACCTGCTACTGTATTAGCAGCTGCACCCGCTACTGTATTAGCAGCTGCACCTGCTACTGTATTAGCAGCTGCACCCGCTACTGTATTAGCAGCTGTACCTGCTACTGTATTAGCAGCTGTACCTGCTACTGTATTAGCAGCCGCACCTGCTACTGTATTAGCAGCCGCACCTGCTACTGTATTAGCAGCTGTACCTGCTACTGTATTAGCAGCCGCACCTGCTACTGTATTAGCAGCTGCACCTGCTACTGTATTAGCAGCCGCACCTGCTACTGTATTAGCAGCTGTACCTGCTACTGTATTAGCAGCCGCACCTGCTACTGTATTAGCAGCCGCACCTGCTACTGTATTAGCAGCCGCACCTGCTACTGTATTAGCAGCCGCACCTGCTACTGTATTAGCAGCCGTACCTGCTACTGTATTAGCAGCCGCACCTGCTACTGTATTAGCAGCCGCACCTGCTACTGTATTAGCAGCCGCACCTGCTACTGTATTAGCAGCCGCACCTGCTACTGTATTAGCAGCCGCACCTGCTACTGTAGTAGCAGCCGCACCTGCTAATGTAGTAGCAGGTGCACCTGCTACTGTATTAGCAGCCGCACCTGCTACTGTATTAGCAGCCGCACCTGCTACTGTATTAGCAGCCGTACCTGCTACTGTATTAGCAGCCGTACCTGCTACTGTATTAGCAGCCGCACCTGCTACT